GCTCTCAATAGTTGTTTATATTTTTCTATTGCTAATATATTATCCCGTGTACGTATACCGTGTGCGTTTCGTAGTTTCTCGGACGTTAAAAAATTTCCTACGAACGCACAAAAATCCGAAGTCTATCGATTACGATGTTTCGAAGGGAACTCTAACGGCACAAAGAACAAAATGGTGGCTGTTCGAGCGGTATCGCGCTATAGAAACCGAATGAAATTAATTATTTTACCACGGCGTAAGGGACATCGCTAGAGAGTTACAAGGGAATGTTAATTACGAAATGGCGTCGGAAGAACGCGTTTCGCTTAATTACGACTCAACTTTTGATTCACTGGCTAACAAAGGAAGCTTCGATAACGCTGTGTGCTAAACGAACGCAAGTCAGCTTAAGTAACTCTCTAATTAATTACTGAAAAAGTAAAAGGTCAAACATTTCCCCCCCCCCCCCCCCGTAACCAATTAATTTCCCCGTGTATCCGCGTGGGCGATCTTTTTCTCTCGAAGCCGGAAAATGGTAAGCTCGGACTGGAAAATGCGCTCGGGACGTGGTCACCTTCGAGGCATGGTCGCCTTCGTCAGTGGCGAGGAGAAATCGAGAGTTCTCGAGTACTCCAAGTCGCTCGCGAGGACTCTGGACGATTTTAAAAGTTGAGTAAACTCGACGACAACGAACAGTCGCCGTTCTCCTATTGGCAATCTGCGCTTGTTTCGATTTCGAATCAGAGCGCGAAAGAGAAGAGAATCAAATTGCATTCGGGATTGATTCCTACGACAGCCTTGACAAATACGTGTTTCCTTGCATTTTTCGCTGAAATATCATCGATTTCTCTTCTCCCAACCGATCACAGAAGGTGGACGTTGGAAGCTTCAGCTTCCCTATCGCACAGCCAACTCGCAGCCGTTGGAATAAATGGCGAGAGGGATGAAAGCGCGGCCGCTTGCTTTCAGTTTCGGTTCGGAAGCCCGGAGTCCCGGTTCGGATTCCAATTTCCTCGGGTGCGAATTCGTCCAAGGACGAGAATCGACGAGCACTCGGAGCGGACTGGGAAGCCGGCGCCCGCGCAATTTAATATTCAGCGAATCTGGAACTAATCCAGGGGACCGGGTGGCATTTTTGCAAAACGTGACACTGCAATTTCCGTCGCGGGCACGACGCCCGTAGACCGTGCCGCCTTACCCCAATTTCACCCTTTTTCCGTGGACAAGGACGGACCCCCGCGTCCAATTCCTCTTATTCGACTCGAATCTCTCCAACGGTCCCTCGAGGTGTCCACGTTCGCGTTCCTCGATCGATACCAGACGCATGCATTACCGTCAAACCTCTTCTCGAGATTATTCTAACGCCGCGTTTCCGGTTCCTGACGGCCAAGACGCACGGTGGCAAATGATAAACAAGCAGTTTCACCAGCCGCTGCTGGATGCGGGTGTCTCTCGCGCGAGGAATCTCTCACCGGTGTTGTTTTAACGATACGTGTGCTATTCTCGATGCGAAACACGAGCTCGACGCGTTAGCTGCCAGACTAGAATCCTCGAAAATTTCATTTTTGCCCTAGTATGCAAAATCATATTGCCTAGTTAATTTTCTGACCTTTTTAAATTCACGAAATTCGATCGTATCCAGATTTACCTTCGCGGCCCACTTTACGAATTAATTTCTTTAATTCTTCGATCAAAAGTCTTACCATCCATTCCTCGGCGACCAACGCGTTAAAAATGGAAAAGCCATCGAGACTTGCGATACGATAACAAATCGCCAACAATTTAGCAAAGAAAAAGAAGCTGTCCCAGTCTCGATCATAAAATGCGAACAGCCTCCGAGTTATCCTATGGATTGATCTGTACTCGCTCGAGTCCACAGCTCTCGTCGCAGTTTTCGATCGAGAGCCGTCGGGAGGATAGAGAAGGTAAGGCGAGTGTTTCGTCTGCAAACAATTAAAGGGCCGAAGTGGTTGTGCCTCTAGAAAAATCTCGTTAGGAGTTATTCCATCGCGAACTCTCGCGACGAAAATCGATACACGGGTGGAGAACAACCCTTACAAACGAAAGCGGTTTCTCGAGGAAAACGAACGTTACGTCGCCCGGAAACTCGACCGTCACTTATTGCAACGAGTTTCGATAAACGTGGCTGATAACGGAGGGGTCTCGATCCTTCGTTCCAAAGACGCAAAAACGCGCGGATGGGAATTTGTCCGCGTTTCGTCGAAGGGTCAGTTACTCGAACGATCGATCGCGCGCAATCGACGTTTCGCTGCTCGCGCAGGCCGTGGAAAGTGATCGAACCTGCGAGCAAATGACGAATCGTGCGACAAAGACGTAAGAACGTGTCCTACGTGAGACCTAATACTTGGCGATGTTTATTCCACGCGTCGAGCACCGTAAATCTTACGTGTTTCGATTACGTGATCGATTCTAGATCGCTCGCGAAAAGACCGTGACACCGTCGTCGTAGGTTTGAAATGTCGCGTCGTGACCGTTAACAAAGCGCGGCGTTTCGTCGGGCGGTATATCGCTTGGGAAAACGTTCCTACAAGGCATCGCGTGATCAATTAAAAACAGAGAAAGGGAGCAACGGAATCGACTCGTGGCGGAGAATTAATAAGACACGAAACGAACGCGGGAACGGTGGCGGGAAGGGTTAGGCCCGTTCGTTCGTTGAATGCCATGGGAAGACAATAGCAAAAAGGGGGGGGGGGGGAAGGAAAGGAGAAAAGAAAAACTGAAAAGAAAAGAGAAGAAAGTGGTCGAGAATAGCACACCGATTAAGTTGACTACTGATAACGTAGCCGAAGGGGAAGTCGCGCGGGAAATTGTGCATTTCGGTGGAATGATTTAAACCCCGTTTAAAAGGTTTCAAGCGGTTTCATCAAATGCGCCGGGTAAATTACAACGTCCTCCTGGCGGCGAGACGCCGACGGAGGAGAGAGGCGAGACGGACGAACGAAGAAAGGTGGAAAAAAGAACGGGGAACCCGGATATATTGTCTGACGAATGCAATTGGGAGCTGTAAGATCGATCCGCGCGGCGTAATATCTGGTTGGTGCATAGCGGTGATGCACCAACACCAAGGTTCGCCCTCTTCATCCTCTGTTTGAAACGCGACGGCATTAAGCACCCCCGCGAGAGCTTAACCCTCGATCGTTTCTCCAACTTTTCCGTGGTCACGGGTCCGACCGAGCAACTCAACTCCGAGTCACTCTATTCTTGTTTAAGGTGGGTCACTCGCGCGCAAATCAACCGCTGTTAGTCTTATTGTTGAATATTTCGGCAAGTAAGAACACTCGGGTTTCATGTCCTCCGATATGTTTAAGAAACAGAAAATAATTCAGATAGACGGCGACGCGATCACTCGTGTCCCACGGTTCGACGACGAGTAACTATAATTCGTCCTACATATTTTTAGAATAGATTTTTGCGTAAATTAAAATTTATTACCGTTAACGTGAACCTCTTACTTCTCTCCTTATTAGTTTTTATTTTACATTGCTTGCCGTGCTTCTTACGCTGACTGCATGATAACGACTTACCCTCTTAAACGAGAATACGAATTATTAGCCAATTTCGAGCAACGAAGCTTGCCGTTAAGCTTGCAGATACATTTTCGCGTAGAATAAACATCACTCGGAAAGAATAACGTTCCCCAAGAGGTAATATAACCTGGGTTGGATTTATCGGGCCACTCGGTACATATCCGTGGAACATTATGCATCGATGCGTACAAATTTATCGAGATTCATGGTATCTTCGCTTTAGTTGGCCGTTATTAAAAATTTCTGCGAAATCGATACGCGGTAGGTAACACGGCTATTACCAGGAGATATTCATTACGCGGCGCACTGCAACGTGCACGGCCTGAAATTATTCGTGGTAGCACGATTTTTCTGCGACGTGGTACTCTTTGCTCGCGCGCGTACTTGGGCGAAAATAGCAACGCGTGCGGCTAGTTGGCCATTAAACGCGATGATAGAGTGATAACAGCAACGAGGGTAAGAAACAGAGCGCGGATAAAGACTGGTTTTCCGTTTAGTGGCAATAATTAACGACCGCCGAGGAGAAATTACGAGCGAGCCGCGAAAGAAACGGGGGCAATTACGTCGTTTGACGATACCCGGAGCAGAAGCTCGTTCGCATCGGTGTGTCGAGAAATTAAACCTGGAACCGGCGTAATAACGGGTTCATCGGGGATTCAAATTTCATCCGAGATCCTCGCCGATTATATTCTGATCTCGGGGAATTGCCGACAATTTAGGCTATTCCCGCCGAATTCTACGGTAGCTCGCAGCGTTACCCCAGTTCAAATATTCCGACAGAAATTGCTCGTAACCAAGCTGCCGGGACGATCCGCGCGCGGCGCATACATCCGTGCGCTAATTAAGAACTCGCGTACGGTCCGACCAGCGTCGAGCGAATTATTTTTGGTCAAATTAAACGACGAACGAACGAGCAACCGTTTCGAACATCTCGAGAGGAAAAATAGACGACGTTTCGGTCGAGTTAAATTGAATTTTCGATAAACGCACCGCGAAATATGTACCTGGTCGTTCCGAGGAAGGAATCCGCGTACGTCGCGCGACTTTGTTCGCGCATCTTCGACGTTTTCGAATGCTATTGTTTGCGCGGAGTAGATCTGTACGTTACCCCGTATCCTGCAGAGACCAATACTCGTCCCGCTTCCCTCGTACAATTGTTTTAATTGCGAACTTTCAGCGACCCGATGTTTCAGGTGCAACTGCGATAACGCGTTCCCCCGAGGTCGCGAGTATCGCATTCGAGACTACGATAAAAGCTTTCTCGTAATATCGCTTTGCTCCTTCGCTATTCTATTCCCATTTCCTCGCTGTTACTGCTTTTTTACGGGAATGATAATAATTATTCGGGGGAAAGGAGGCACTCGTCAGCTTGAAATCTTTACACTTTTAGATGTGTAGTAAAGTAAACAGGATTGGGTCAGTGGTTATAGCCAACCAAAGTAAGGTAAAATTACTTGGCTACATTTTACTTACCCGTGGTAACGCATCCTCCTTACTACCACCGACGCTGTTCTTTCTTCCTGCGATACCAATACACGTTCTTCTTGTATTTATTCGTAGTAATGCCCCTTGAAGTGGTACGTTCTGCTCGTCTACAAAGAAATACGTTGCATTATAAGGAGTCGCAGTACACGTTGGTCTTCTTAAAATACATTACGGTACTCTTCGGTATTTATCGTAAAAGAGTATTAATCGTTACACTGAAACACCTGTTACGTGAGTAACAGTTTTGTTTCTAATTCGGAAACTCGATTAAAATTTCAACGATCGCCAGGCCACGTGGCTCGAGGAAGCAAGGGAAAGAGAGACACGTTACGGTTGCGTAATTAGACTCGATGCCCCCCACCTTCCTCGCGAAGTAGCGGGAAATCTAGTTAGTTTGCGTAACGATTTTAAATTCGCTATTGTCTCCGCGCGGCTCGTAATTACTCAGCGTCGACGTCTTTGCGGGACGCAACCAATGCGTCAGGACGGCTCGGGATTTTATGGCCGACTGCTCGTGTACAATGCTCGGCCGCGGCCACCGGTACATAATGTACCGGTACACGTGCACCGAGCAGGTACTCGGTTACGTAGCGACCGTAATTAATCGGTTTTTGTGGGCCCGCCAAGGTGGCAATATCGCTTCGGTACGCCCGCGGTGATTTTCAATCGGATCCACGTTCTTACGCTGTTCAACATTTTCTGTCGACGCATTGTCGAATCGTGTTCGCACTCGAATTACCTATAAAATACAGATAACGTTCATCGGAGTTTATTCGGATCGTTTTAATTTCGCATTCAATTACGAAATAATAGCCGGTGACACAAAATCGATCTGTGCAAAATTGCCGGTCAACGATGTGTTAATTCGGCACGAATGATAGTAAACGATACGTAGCCGAGTTTTTTGTACCGCCTCATACCAGAGAAGAATCCTGTCTTATTGCTGCGATCACGTCGAGCCAAGAAATGCAATCCCTGTCGTCGACTCGAGATTATCCTGGACCATATGGCGCATCCATCCATCGAGAATACATTCCCCTTCATCCCGAAACCCTCCCCATTGTGGACTCACGGAACCAGAAATACCTCAATCTCCCTAAACTTCGAGGTAGCGAAGGAGCATCAAGGGGAAGCATCGAATTCTCGATCATAACCCGAAATCCGGCTGGACCCGTGATCGATATCGCAACTACCGTCGCGGCGAGAAGCAAACTCTGTCCCCCGTGCACCTGCGATGATCGATATTTGTCACTGGGAAGTTGGCGACGATTATCCGTGCTCCGTCGTCCAGCAAGCGTAACAAAAATTTCATCGTCTGTATACCTCGCGGTAGTTCTCCACCTTTAAGATAGTCGGTTCCGTGAATTTCTTCGACGAAACAGCCGCGCGGTCCACTCGTTAAAAAGTAAAGCGAAATTTATGGAGCCGTCATCGATCATTTTTCGCAGGCAGGAAGCCGTCCGCTCCGAAGGAGCTCTTTCATTGATCTTGACGCGGCTCCATTATACTTCCTCGCAGCGTGGCACGTGTATTGCTCGATGAAAAAGCGGTATGCTGGATATCTGGGGCGCGCAAATCAAAGCATAACGATCTGCCGAGTCGGACTTTAACGCGGAAGGCAGAAGATTTCCTTAAGGGAGTCGTTATTCTGGTCGGAAAACGACGCCCGCACCTGCTCTCTTCTTTTTCCAAACATTTATCGTGCATTCTTAACGCGCGTACGATATGCATGGACGGACACGATTTTGAATGTTTTCAAAGCAAAAGCGGGGCTTTGCGCGACGTTCGACGCGACACATCTTTTTGTACGATCTCCGAGGATGACCGGTCGGAAACGCGAAATATCACCGTTTTTTGCGAAAAAAAAGAACCTCTATGGTATCTATCCGTGGCTATCGGTTGCGCTACTGTATTTTATGCAGTAATTTTTTTAAAAGTAAAATCACCGTACTTTTACAACTCCTGGAAAACGCCGATGATTTCAACTCTGTTATTCATTGATTTCACCTTCTGTTATAGGAGCGAGACGATCAACGCCAAATCAAAAAGAATTCTTTGCGTGCAAGATCGGGAACGCGAATAATTTACGCGTTGAGACCGCTTCCGCTTCCTGGTAGAAGCTCCGTACTCCGGAGTACGTTAAACAAACCTCCGACTTTCCATGTTCGCGGTTTCGGTGCAACAGAACCTAAACGCTCCAGACGCACTTACGCGCAGCTTATTCTAGAATTTGCTGTTTCAACTGTCGCGATAAGAAACGATTAACGGGATCTCTTGTTTCCTGTTCAACTTGCAGAATTTTCGAACTATTCGGACCAGCCACCGCGAAACGCAACGAAGCACGCTTTTTATGCAAACAGTTCCCCTCTTCGTTTACCGTGCGAAAATTACGAGAAGCCATTTATCTTTCATCTGGCACACGCGAAACGCTTTTGAATGTATCTCGAGTGCATCCGAGGAGTCTCAAACGCGAAGGTTGTCGGTTCGAATAGGACGCGCAACGCATCGAATGAAATGAAAAATCGTCGAGGTTTCTCTTTCCGATATGTTTCCATTAACGAGTGTCGACCGAAGTACAGCTCAACCGTCGCGGTTCTTTCCCTGCGAAATGCGGCTACGTATCTCCCTTCGAGCAGAATCGTATTTACTCTTCCGTACACATTTATACCGCTTATATATTTCCGGAGGCACGATTTTAGGAAATCGAGAAATATTCAGTCCTTATTTCAACGATACGTAAACAGATATTCGTATTTATTGGACTGACGCGCGAGGGAATAATTGCGATACGAATTTGAGATTTTTACGGCTAGTTCCTGTTATTATTAGCAACGACGCTGGCGTATTTCAAATTGTTTCATCGATTTTCACAAGAGTCGTAAGATAAAAGGTAACTCCATGTATTTTCCATTAAAAACTTTCGAAGATTCGGTGCACGCGTTAAAAATCGTTAAAACAAGGACACAAACTAAGCGACGAGTAAAACTTTAAGGTAGGAAACTACCAAACTTTCGCTTGGTACGGTCCAAGGAAAAAATGAGAATTACACCGAAACATTTAGCTTCGCGAAAATCGTAATCGTTCGCTTACGAAACGGAATTCGTCGCGGCGCATAACCAGAGGTGCGTTTTGCATCATTGGAGTCGAAACGCCGTGGAATTAATTTTAATCTGCGCGGTTAGCAAATCTTTCGGTTATCGCGCCGAAGAAGCGCGGGCTCGTCGGTAAATTGATAAACCGACAGACGCGTTCCAGTTTCGAAAGGTTACGGAAATTCGAGTTTTGGGGCGGAACGAGGATTTTCCTTTCGGTATTCGCACGAATCGCGTCAATAGCCACCTTTCTTTTCAACGGGAGGCCTGAAAATTCGACGTTTCGATGGATCGGGGGCCTTGCGACGAACAACAGGTCACGGACAGGCGGTGGAGGTACGCCATATTCATCATCGACTGCTAATTAAAATCTATCGACCCAGTTTCTTCGTCCTTGTGCCAATTTTTATGGGAACAATGCAGTATTTCGTTAGAAACGCGAGAAATTGCTTAAATTCAGTTGCTGATCAATTTACTGCGTATATCCAGTCGAGGTTTCTATTCATTGGTAGGGATAGTCATCTTGCATCTATCCACTCGATCCTGTACTAGTAATTTACCACCCCTATAGCTCGGGTACCTCGGGATCGCCGAACCCGTACCGTGGCTACAATCGAACATAACTACAACTCCTGTGGTATATTACACCGAGGGAACTCTTTAAAGACATTCGCATCCGTCGTGTTCCTTGACTCTCATTTCTTCGATTCTCGAAAAACCTCTGTCGTATCTGAGACTGTTGTACACGTATCTCCCGTCGGCGGTCTTTCGCGAATGAAAAATCCACGCTCGCGATAAAAGGAAGCGAGACGAGTGAAAGAGAAAGATGGAAAGGGGCGCGAGCCGCGGTGTAAGATGAAGACGCGTGTATCCGTCGTCGGTGAAGTTAGCGCACACTCCTCCACGCGGAGGAGCACAGACTGCTTCCGGTAATGAAACTCGACGCGAAGAGGAAGTTCGAGAGAGCGAGGGAGCAGCGAGGGACGCGACAGGCACGCACGTGGGGACGTTGAACGGTCTAAGGGATGCTGGAGGGGATGCAGGAGGTTGAGGTCGCATTGATTTTGTCTAGACAGGGTGGAGACTAGCTGTGTCGTCCTTCGCTCACCGTTGATACGGCAGCCAGCGCGGTTTGTGCACGCACCTGCGAGCGACTGCACTCTTTCGCGGCGGTTTCGCGGATCTAACCGATTTTTCGGGCCTGATCGTTAACGTTTTTTTTACGTTTTCCCGTCCCTATGACTCGTCTCCATCGTCGCGATCGTCGAGCAAAATCGCGAGTGACGCGACGTCTACCACTCGCGCGCGATGAGTGTTTTCGGTAAAGTGCCGTGGAAAGAGTGAGAGACGCGGTAATTTCAATTTAAAAAAAAAAAAAAATACAACTACTGTGCGAGATACAGTAGCGTAACCGATCGCCACGGATAGATAGCAGAGGAATTGATTTGAGTGATTTTGAAAAAAAACAAAGTTACTCCGAACGTTTCGCTATTAAAGGTGCAACCATGCATGTAACAGCGTGTTTGGTAGCTGGTGGTGGGACATTGTTTTCGAGAAAGCGGGTTCTTTCTTTCGGTTTCCATTCGGATTCTACTCGTTTAGTCGTATCAAACTATAGGCTATGATTCGCACGAGATCTTGCTAGTTCCATCACGATGTCACGAGTGTCGTCGCGGTTACGTCAACGTTTGATTCGACGACGAATCCACGTCAATTTCCGCGGTCTGCGTAAAATTCAAACCGACAGCTTATCCGCGGAGCGACACCGCTGAATAAAATGTATTTCATCGACGAATCGTTGGGACTAACGAGCTTCGACGTTGTTCGCTCGTTACGCCGTTGCCGTTAATTGAGAACACAAAGAATCGGATGTTGCCGCGAACGAAAGAAAGGGAACATTATTTCCAGCGGGAGCCGCGTATTAATGTAAATTGGACGTTACGGAAACAGCCAGGAATAAAATACGAGCTGCGACGTTCCCGTTTACGGAACAGGATTCGTTGGCCTGTTCCAACGCGCCACGAGCAAACGCCAACCTGTCCACACCGTGGGTTTGTTCGAGTATCGAAACATCAGCGTTCGACGAATGCCACGCGAACAATTTTAACCCTTTCGGTACTACGGGGAGTTGCTTGTTTCGAAGGAGGTATGCTATTCGGCTTAACTTTGTCAAGTTGTGCTATTCTTCGGAGAGGGATAGAACGCAACAAGCTTTCTCATTTTAGCACTAGTAAAATCGAATTCTTTTCGATTTCGACTCGATCTTCTCAGTCGACGGGCGACTTCGAACAAAAAGATGGGGATAGCGAATATGGATTTCCAGACAATACTATACTTTCTATAGTATCCTTTACAGAAGTTCAGTGTCAATCACGCTCGAAATTTCTACGAATTTTTTTACGTTTACCGCAAAACACGTTTCCTTCTTACACTGCCGTACCGAAAGGGTTAACGCCCCTGTTAAAGGGAAGGTCTCGATCGAAATAGAAAATATCAAGAACCTCCTAAGAACAGTCCTTCTAACCGCTTTCATAAGTTTCTCCAGCCCTCGAAAATTTGCATCGAGTTCTACCGAAGCAATCTTCGAGGGTTTCGAGCTACCAATCCGCGATAGAAAAGTATCGCGATCGTAACTCTGCGAACGGTGTTTCGTTCGCCTGGTTAACGGTCAGGTGAACGTTCCGCGACGCGCGATCGCCGATAAAGTCTCGCAACAGCAGAGTTTGCGTTCCCTTTTAGAGTTTCCATTGTCGCGACGCGCTTGTCAAGGAAGGATAACGACACGAAAGGAAAAATGCCGTACCACTGAGGGATCCTCCTGCGCGACGATATATTTGCGAGGCATCCGTCGCGATGCCGCTGACGTCAAGGTAAATCGTTCGCTTCGCGAGACGCGATAATATTTAGTCGACAAATAGTCCCGTGCACGCTCGCGATTTCGCGTCTTTCAAATGCATTC